CCTAGCTCACAGCAACCTCAAACTCCTGAGCTCAAACAATCCGCCCGCCTCGGCCTCCCAGAGAGCTAGGATTACAGGCATGAGCCACCGCGCCCGGCCCCAATTTATTTTTTAATGTGTCTTTCTCCATCGCGTATCTATCTAATTTATTTCCTGTTTTTTTTTTTTTTAAATCATTCTCATTTTAGAAGAAATTTGAGGCAGGAAGTAGTTAATAACTTATCCCAAGTCACACTGTCATTAATTAGTAGCAGACTTTAAAATAAAACCTAATTTTCTGGCTCCTGATCCATTTCCCTTTTTTCTTCCACACCATATTTCTTCCTCCTTTCCTTCACATTCTTCCACTCCTCCTCTGAGTTTAACAGATTAAATATACTTTCCAGTTGGCTTCCATGTAACGTGATGTATGTACAGAGAGTGTCACAAGCTTGGGTGAGCACCTGGTTCCAGCTGGGCACTAGTTGGCTGTTACATGTCTTGTAACCATTTCGCAATTCAGCTGTGCTACTTATGGGGATTTGGCCAGACTACTCTCTCAAAGCTGCCGGTGGCCCTGCAAGGGTTGGAGAGCATCCAGAACTTTAGGCCATCCATCCTTAGCTCTCTTTTTTCAGCAGCACTAGGAACTCCAAGCATACTGTGGGGGTGTAGGCAACTGGGAGAGGTCTGGGTGCCTAGAGAATGGGGATATTTGGACTGCTAACATTGGTTAAGAGAACACAGATTCTGTTGATAAAAGAAACAGCACTGAGGTTGGAGTACAAAACTTGTAGCCCACAAGCACAAGTAAAGGAAATTTTGTTTGGCCTACATAGCATTTAATTTTCTTCTTTCTTCTTCTTCTCCTTCCCCTCCGCCCTCCTCCCTTCTCCCTCCTCCTTCTTCTTTTTCTTCTTCCTTTTTAAATCTGGATAATTTTATAGGACACATTTACTCATCAATTTGTCATAATAGTCAGCACTTCATTTCCTATAGTTTTACATCTAACTGCTGTTAACTCCCTGGCTCCTAAAGGTATTTAATGGAACTCTGCCCAGATTACTGAAATACAAATTGTATCCGTAATGAGGTCACTCGAGACTCACTGAGGGTAGAACTGGAAGATGTGTTCTTATGCCAAAGTGATCACAGTTTGTCCAGATTATTTTTTTTTTCTGGCAGTTGATTATTTTGTGGCTGGGAATGCCCTTTTATTTAGACTTTATTTATTTTTCTTTTTTTGTTGTTGTTTTTTTTTTTTTTTTACAGTGGTTGCCATGTATTATTTAGACTTTATACCTCTCTCAAGATTACGAATTTCCCCCCGTGTTGGGATGTTTCGGATGATTAAGGTGAAAATACCTATAGAATTTTCTAGTCTTGGCTCATACACACTTAGTGACTTAGGGGACCTGAAAGAAATTGATTAAAATAAATACACTTTATTGACCTTTTCTGAGTTGGGTTAAGGATGAAGAGAAGAAAGGGAAGGAAAGAAGGATTTATTTGTATAGCAAACTGATAGGGTTTGGTAAAGTATAATTTTCAAAAAGTTAAAGAACACAACTTTCATATAAATATAAAATGATTGTGTGTCAAAGATTTTATTTAATTCATTAATTAATAAAGGAACCAGTAAGATGTTAAGACCAATTCAAATGAAAATTTAGGAGCTAAGTATTTATAGGCAATTTAATAAAGGAATGTTAAAATAAGATTTCTGAATTATATACAAAACTAATTAATACCCTAAAGTGCAATAAAACAAACTTTGGAGTTATCTTTTCCACCAGACATGAAATATTTTTATTACTACTGGATAAAAATCTATAAGTTAGGCCGGGCGTGGTGGCTCACGCCTGTAATCCTAGCACTCTGGGAGGCCGAGGCGGGCGGATTGTTTGAGCTCAGGAGTTCGAAACCAGCCTGAGCAAGAGCGAGACCCCGTCTCTACTAAAATTAAAAAGAAATTAATCGGACAACTAAAAATACATAGAAAAAATTAGCCGGGCATGGTGGCGCATGCCTGTAGTCCCAGCTACTCGGGAGGCTGAGGCAGTAGGATCGCTTGAGCCCAGGAGTTTGAGGTTGCTGTGAGCTAGGATGACGCCACGGCACTCACTCAAGCCCAGGCAACAGAATGAGACTCTGTCTAAAAAAAAAAAAAAAAAAAATCTACAAGTTAACCTTCGCCTACAGAATTATAAAGTAGTCCAGTCAACAGAAAACTAATCAAAGGTGTAAATGCAAAACTGCACTAAAAGATCACCCAAAAATTTCTTTTGGCTATTTCTAAGTTTCAGAGGATTTTTCTGAGAAATCGTAATCATCTACTTAGACTCAGTTGCCAGAAAGTGAAATCTGTTTCCCAAGCTTTGAAAATGCAACTTGATGATGAGGATAAATGAAATGAATTCTAAAATCTAGCATATGTGTCTTAGGGGTAGATCATTTTGGATTTCAGGGATGAAGTTCTATGTTTCTTAAACACACGTTTGAATGACACAGTATCACTATAAGAAATTCTCACTCTGAATCTTTTTATTTCCTTTACAGAAATTCCATGGAATAGTAGTTGATACTGCTTTGCAATGTCTCTGTTTGAAAGCTATAGTGGGGACAGCTCAAATAAAGGTAGGTAAACTCAAAAAAAGATGTATAAGTCTGTATGTCTTTATTATTGCCTCTGAAGTGTGTTATGTGTGTGTGTGTGCGCTCACCCATGTACATGCACATATATGTATGACAGATAAATAGACTGGCAACCTACCAAATTGCCTAACAAACAACTGACCAGGAGAGGAAATATATATATTGCATAAGTAAATACTTTGTACTTACAAGTGGTACAAGCTCTAGTTTTGTCGTCTGGGAATTCTAATTTGAGTAGTTACAATCATCTTTTATACGTTTCCGGTGTTTGGAAGTTCATCAGGAAAGCTTGAGTTCCTTTCCCTCTCCCCATCCTTCACGACTGCCTCCTGCAAAAAAAAGGTGATCAGTGAGAAAAGAAATTGCTGAAGCAGGTGAGGTCCTCCTTTGCAGCCTTTTTGTGGACAGAAAAAATGGATCTGGCTATGTTGTTAGGGAGGATTTCCATACTTCAGTGTTTTCCTTTGGCAAATCAGGGTACTAAAGGGAGCTGGAGTAATCACACCAAGCCATCTTTCAGAATGTAAAAAAAAAAAAAAAAATTTACATTCTAAGTAAAAAAAAAAAAAAATTTCTACTATGAAATTTTGAAAAAGCAAGCCAGAATATAGTTCTAGATTTCCTCCTTTTAAGGAGTGAAGAAGGTGCAGAGAATGAACTTAGTTCACTCTGTACCTTCTTTACTTGCTGTCATTGGACAGTTGTCTGATTCCTTCCTGGAGGGAGCCTATTCTGAGGGCATAGGCCCTGCTTCCAAAAGGAGGAAGTCAGGAAGCTGCCATCCAAGAGAAAACTGGGGAGAACTCTTCTATCCTCAGGAGAGCTAAAGGTGAGAAAGCTGAAGAAAACAGAGACTAGTTGACCAGTTGCTCATGTATCTTCTTGTGAACAGAAAACATGGAGAGCAGAATGCTTTAGGAGTAGTAAGTTCCAGGCAAATGAAAAATGTGGTAATCATCAATAAAGACTGATTCATTCATTCATTTGACAAATATTTATTGATTATCAAGTAAGTGCCAGCTGTGCTAGTTGTGACGCTACAATGGCAACAAAACTAGGCAGAATTCCTGCGCTTGGGGAGATTATTAATAGCACATCAAATAATTAGCACAGATAAATATCAGTTATATCTGCATAAGTGCTATGAAGTAAAGATTATATGGTGGGCATTGTGGTCAGAAGCATGGATTCTGGAACCATACTGCTTAGGTTTGAATCCTGGCTCCACCATTGACTATGTTATCTTCGGCAAATCTCTCAATTTCTCTGTGCTACAGTTCCTCATCTATAAAACAAGGATAGTAACAGTGCTACCACATAAGGTTGCTGTGATGATTAAATTAGGTAATATTTAGCACTTAGGACAGTATCTGCCACATGGTAAATACTTGGTAAATGTGTAAAAAATCATCTATAAGAGCTTGATGCTTTCATTCAGGAAGACAGTAACTTCAGTGTATAAATATGGGTTATTTCAAAAGCCAAAAATTTTTAACAAAGAACAAGAATGAAAATCTGTTTTCCTGGCATAAATCTCTTCAGGTAGGCTAGCACTACCTTCCACAGGTAGAATTACTGGTCCCTTTTTGAGCAGTGAGCAATTATTACTGGTCCACCCAAGATTTTGGCCCATTGGCCTGAGTTGACAAAGTAACAGTGGTAAACCCAATAATTTGGTAGGTACCACTGTTTTCAATATGCAGAATCTTCAAGCATATTCTGGTTGGAAAATTTAGAGTACCCTGAGTAAATACTGACTAGCTCCAGCTATCTACCCTCTCCTTTCTATTTTCTACCACCTTCTTAGTTCAAGCTGTCATCATTTCAAGTATTGACTATTGCAGCAGCCTTGTAAGTGGTCTTTATGTCTGCAATCTGTTCCTCTGTAAATCTGTCATTAGATTAATTAATCATTGTTATTAATCTTTCTGAAATTCTGAAATTCCAGTTTTATCACATTTTTCCCCTCTCAAACTTTTTCTGGGATTCCTGGTCAGCTACTTGGTAAAATTTAAGATTATTAGCCTAATATTAAAGTCCTAACTTTAAGATCTTGTTTCCTGCCTCCTTTAGATTTTTCCTATCTACTGTACTATCATACAACTTGCCTAGTCTCAGTGCCAAACCTTTCATCAAGTGATTGTTCTTACCTAGAAACCTGTCTCCTACATCTCTACCCAATCGACCCTATATTCATCTTTTAGGTTTAGTGCAAGTCCTTCTCCATGAAGCCTTCTTCAACAGTTCTCCCCCACTCCCCCTACTCCCCTCACTCCAATTCTCTCTCCTTCCTGAATTCCTATAGTGCTTGGTTTCTACAGTTTTTTTTTAAATAACAGCTTTATTGAGATATAATTCATGTGCTACAAAATTCATCCTTTTAAAGCATGCAGTTCAGTGATTTTTAGTATATTCAGAGTTATGAAACTATGACCATAACTTAGTTTTAGAACATTTCATCACCCTAAAAAGAAACCCCATACCATTAGCAGTCACTCCCAATTCCTTTCGTCCCCCAGCCCCTGGCAACCATTAATTGACTTTCTGTTTCTATGGATTTGCCTATCCTAGACTTGACATATAAATATTATAGAATCATATCATATGTGGCCTTTTATGACTGGCTTCTTTCAGTTAATGTTTTCAAGATCCATCCATATTGTAACATATATCAGTATTTCCTTCCTTTTAATGGCTGAATACTATTCCAGTGCTTGGATATACCACAATTTGTTTATCCATCCATCAGTTGGTGGACATTTGGATTATTTCCACTTTTTGGCTATTTATGAATAATGCTGCTATAAACATTTCCATACAGGTTTTTGTGTGGACATACAATTTCAGTTGTCTTAGATCTCTGCAATTCATTTAAAATCTTATTTACATCCTGCCTTAAACTATTGCTTTGCTGTTTTGCACATGTTATGCACGGATTCTACCACTGCCTAGCACAGTGCTTACAGAGCTCCCTCTGTCCTGTAGAGTTTGTAAGACTGTCCCATCTATTATATTTCTCCTCTCCCTCTTCTCTACCATCCATACACTTCTGCAAATATCATCATCATCATCATCACCACTGCCACCACAACAATAAAAACTATTAACAATTACCAAGAGAAGGTTATTGTGGTAAATAACACTAGGTTGTAAGTAATTCAAAAGAATGGGGTAAACCCGTATGTATTGACATGGAAAGATCTCCAATATATAGTGTGAAAAGAAAAAAGCAACTTGTGAGCAATACATATAGTAGGATCTCATTTGTTAAAAAAAAAAAAACCCATATAGAGGTATGTGTATATATGTATACATTTGTATGTAAATGCCCTAAAAAGGAAGGGACCCAAAGGATATACACCAATCTATTAACAGTGGTTTCCTTAGGAAAAAAAGAAGGAGAAGAAGGCACAGGAAAGGAAACTTTAAACTTTTTCTCTATATGTTTCTGTTTTTGAATCTTTTATAGTAAAAATGTATTTATATATTACTTTGAGAAATTTTAAAAATTAATAAAAGTGTAATCACAAAGGGAAAATAACTAAGTTGGAGAAACCAAAGGAAAGTACAGAAAAGGAAAAAAAGAAGAAAAAGAAATAGCGGGAAGGAGGAGGGCAGAGATACTGTGGCATGTAAAGAAGAAGGTTAATTGGAGCCTTAGTAATATGGCTCCTTTGTAGTCTTCATACAAAGGAAAAATTTTGTAAAATTTTGTAATGAATATTTTGCAAATAAAGGTACATTTAGCTACAATTTCCCCTTTTCCCTGTGTATGGTGACTTTTGGGACACCTGTAGAATGCTCTACAACAAATGCTAATTTGCATAAGCACAGAAATAGACAATGAGGTTGCACAACTCTGGGAACATATGAGAAAGCACTAAATTGCACACTTTTAATAGGTGGATTTTATGGCATATAAATTATATCTCAATAAAGTTGTTTAGAAAAAGCAGACATTTAAAGTTTCTAGAGCTGGTTTCTAGAATTGTTTCTTTAGAAAATTTAAAGCAACAATAGAACTAATTTTTAGGAACTTTTTCTGACCTTAACAACAGAGGAAGGGTTCCATACATCTCAGAGACAGAGGGGTTGCTAGAGAGGTTGTCTCACTTTCTGAGGGGGCAAATAGAGTGGAGACATAACCTAGGAATTATTAGAAGCATTGAGGGTAGAACAAAGGTTTAGCAGCCTTCAGGCTAAATTCTGGATTGCTTGGTATAATACATTGGCTTAAGAGAACTGGAAAGCACTTAGTCCATATCATCCACATAATTAAGGAATCTTCTCCTCCAGGAATACTTCCATGTCCTACTTTCCCTGACTTCCATGCCCTCTTCTGTGTCCCCCTAACAACTTATGCTTACCTGTATTACTACCCTTACATTAGATTGAAAATTTCTTTTATATTTGTCTTCCTCACTAGGAATATGAGTACCAAGATGGTCAGTGATGATGTTTTCCTCACTTGGTAATCCTAGGACCTAGCACAGGGCCTGACCCCTACCAAAAACTCAGTAAATGCTTGTTGAATCAAAGAAGAATTGAAGACTCAATAGGAATATTTCACTCAGGACAGAAAGATCTATTGATTTCATATATA